CTGTCTCCCATGGGAGGGACCCCATGCTGGAGCAGGGGAAGAGTGTGATGAGTCCTGCCCCTGAGGAGGATGAAGTGGCAGAAATAATGTGTGATGAACTGACCGTATTCCCCATCCCCCTGCACTGCTGGGGGGGTAGGTAGAGAATTCAGGAGTGAAGTTGTGCCTGGGAAGAAGAAGAAGGGAGGGGTGGAGGGAAAGTGTTTTGAGATTTGGTTTATTTCTCATTACCCTACTCTGGTTGATTGATTGGTAATAAATTGAGTTAATTTTCCCCAAGCTGAGTCTGTTTTGCCTGTGACAGTAACTGGTGAGTGATCTCTCCTGTCCGTATCTTGACCCATGAGCCCTTTGTTATATTTTTTTCTCTCCCCTGTTCAGCTGAGGAGGGGGAGTGATAGAACAGCTTTGGTGGGCACCTGGCCTCCAGCCAGGGTCAACCTACCACAAAGGTAATTCTTGAGAAATACCTTTTTCTGTTTTATTAGGGAGTGGGATGGTATTTTTTCATCTCTGTTAAGAACCTAACTGCCATCGGGAAAGGGGCTAATACAGGTTATGCTGAATTTTAATGATGTCCCTAGTCATGTAGTCCATCTCATATTGTGCAGACCACAGTTTCCAGCTCAGCATGTCAAGTTATTTTTTGCTTCATTTTTGCCCTTTTAAAGGGGGACAGAGAAGCTCTTATTTTAATAGCAGTAGTGTCAGCAGTATTAAAAATTTCACTCTGAAACTGTACTGGTATGACCCCTTCTAGCCACAGAAGTTACTTTCTTGTACATAAATGTTTACAATTCTAGTTCAGAAAAGGAATGTGCAACAGCCACAGATCAGTGAACAAAGGGCAGTAGAATTCACCTGTGATTTTACTGCAGAAGAGACTGTGCAACAGTTTTAGGAGTTAAAATAAAAATTAGAATTTGCAACACTAGTAAAATTTAAAATCCAGGATGTACACTAAGTAAACCACTGATACCACTTAAAATGCTGCTGCAATGCACATAGAGCTGCTGAAACAAAATGGATGACTATTTGGGTCAAAGCATTGCCTGGGCCCCACTACAGTGAAATGTCAAAAAACTAGGGGTAACCTCTAGGAGGAGGGGTAGTTTGATTACCCTGTTCTAGCACCAAGCATCTGCCCAACTGTTTCTAGCCCAGTAGTCAAAGGTCTCCTACTGTCATCAAGGAAGTAATGAGGATGAGATAAAACTCTTTTAGCCAGATCTAAAAAGTTTTAAAGGGAAGGCCTAGATTTGAGGTCTAATGGTCAAGAACTAGTAATTTTGTAAAGGTAGATACAGAAGTCCAGGTTGAGAAAGTGTTCTTTAAGTCAGCAAAGCACATATTTTTGTGAAAATAGGCCAAAAATGTAACTGATTCAATCTGTGCCTAGTGAAAAGTTACTGTAGGCAAAAAGTTTGATTGTGAACTAATGACTGAATGCTGGAACTATACTACTGTTAAGCATTAACACAACTTGGTGATTTCTTTCCTTTCTTGTCATGTAAGAAGTTGTTTGAGCTATCTCAAATGATAAAAAAGTTTATCTAGTTACCTGTGTCAACTGGTACACAAGCTTCTGAAAGCCTAAGAGATGTAAATCATTACATGATTCTTCATCAATCAGTGTAGGCAAACCTCCCTTTTCTCACCTAGTTCAAGGAAGATGGGAGGAATGCAAAGTGCCAAGATTTAGGGAAAGGAGAACAAAGTCTTTACTCTTGAGAATTAAGGAAAATGTTGTAAAAACAAGTTTAATTAATTGCAAGGAAGACTTGGCTCATATATAAAAGCACATGTATGAATTTGAATTCAGAGCAACTGCTAAACAGAACAGTTTATTGCAGAGTTGGTAAAAAGCACTGACAGACAAATGGATGATACAATTTTCAAACTGTAAAGTTAGATACTTACATATCTTGGTTGCATGAGTAAATCCTCTGACATCAGTGAGATTACTCAGAAGCACAACTTGAAACCCAGACTACAAAAACTTTTCTTTAAAAGGGAGCTGAAGAGCTACTTATAGACTTTTCATATAATGCATGTTTCAAATGCTCCCCTCCCCACATTTATATGAAAGTGAAGAGCACATAAAGATATCCTGAACAGGAAAAGAAAAACAACCTGACTGCAAAAGCAGTTACCCATTCTGTTGACCAGAAGCATTTCCCCTGCAAAGTGTTCCCAGATTTGACATTAGAAAAACGCTACATCGCAATGCCTTACTGCTAATTCTAAAGAGAAGTAACTTGATATGAATTTTTTAAATCCTGTTTTAACTGAAATTTTAACATTCTAAATTGTTTTTACAATTTCAATGTAAAATAGTGTGTACAAAGTGCCAGAGAAGAATGAATATTCCATATTATAAAGTTGCAGCGAAAACCCAAACCTGAACTATCTTTGAAGAATTACAGTACACAACTTGGGGTACCCGGTGTGTTGCCATTACACAGAATTGTGCTCGGCTGATTTAAGTTACCTTACTGTGATATAAGCACAATATAGTAGCAATGCAGTTCACTGTTAAACACAGTAGCAAATGGGAACAAATGAAATTAAATTTTTGCTAGGAGAGAGTTAGTCATGAGTTATACAACTCCTTTACAACAACTGAATAGAAGGTCAGACGGACTTGACAGACAAACACAATGGAAACAAATTGAATGGAAAAGTAGTACATCAATCCAAACTTCTGAAAAAGGAGCTAAATGACTTACCTTAAAATCTAAGAAGTCTGTTGAAGAACAATGCCCATATTCTTAGTGTGTTCGTTACAGAAGAATCCCTTCATTTACAAGACACGGGCACTATTTTGTTTCATGGGCTCATGAAGAAAGGATGTATTTGTGCTGTACTTTTTATCATCAAATGCTATTTCCAGAGCCATACTGTTACTATGAAGTGGCTTCATTAACAAATGAGGAAATGATATATCCTATCTCCATTAGAAACATGTGGGGATAAAGAATGTTTGCCATATGGGAAAAAGGAAGAAAAAAAATCAGTGAGGAAGTAAGTGCATAAGCTTCCTGGATATCATAGCAAAAAAGGCAAAGCTTAAATTGGCTTTAAGTACATTATATTTATAGTTCTGAACATGTGTTCATGCATTTTACAGCTATTCAACAATGACATTTTGAAATGTTACTGTAATTGCAGAATTTCTCCTAGGAGCCAGAAAGGTGAATCATTCTTAAGTTTTTGGTACAGTATGATGAGGTTACTAAGTTTATTACATCTACATTTTAATTCTTTGCTGATTCTTGACCAAATTATTGGAGTCTTTAGCAGTATGATGTACTTATAATTGTTGGGTCATATCCTGAAGTGCGCTGGAGCAGCAGCTTAACAGATGGCATTGTGGAAGGCCTGTATTAATTAAACAATGCTTCAAGATTATTTCCTCAATTCTCTTTCTGGAACATTTACCTTCATTGATGGCTGACACCCGGTTCCAGGAGTTAACAGTTATTACCAGAGGAGGCTGGCTTTGATCCCTGGGTCAAATGCAAAGCCCAAGTGGAAAAATGCATCTTTGCAATGTGCAAGGGCAGCCGATACTGGCTACTGTATAAGCAGTCCCACCTCTAACAGTCTCTCTTCTGTCATGAATCCTTTTCCTTTCCTTTATCCTTTCCAAACCCAGTTTCTTCTCATGTCTAACTGGGGACATGTCATAGCTTTAGTCTCTTAAATAAAATCGTATCTGCTTCCCCAAGATCACCAAAAATTACAAAAAGTAAACTGCATTGAGTTACAAAGGAAATATTAGTAACAAAAAAGCTGACTCAGTTAAGCACCCTGCAACTTTTTTTGTGAGCTTTACAGCACCTGACAAGGTTAAAAAAAAAGAGGAAAGAAAACTTCATACTTCACTTTTCACAATGACATTGATTAATTGATTTATAAATTCTAAATACTATCTACAACTTGTCAAGTCATCCAGTTTTGCTGGTACGCATTACAGATAACAATACTGATAGCTGCCATTTAAGGCACAGTTTTGATTCTGGGATGAAGATTTAAACGTTCTTGGTATCAAGCAGGCATTATGTTCTCAGTTCTCTGAGCAGCCTTTTTGGATATAATACTAAAACAGTAAGGTCAATGGGGGAAGACACAAGTGACAAACTTTAGATTATGGTCATAGAAGCGCAAGAGACTCAGCTAGCACATTTCAACATGTTAACCCTCCTTCCAGTTTGATGTTACTCCTGAAGGCGGTATTAACCCAAGATATTTTATGCTAAACAGATAAAGCAGTATACAGGACTATTCTACCTCAGCAAAAGACAAGTTACTGAACAGACTAATGTGATTCCCTGTGCTTTTCTACCTAACCATGCTTCAGGACTACAAAAATATGTTTTCTGTAAAGTATGCAAGAAGCTTAAAACATATGTTTTAAAAACAGAACTAATGCTTTTATTTATTTTTAACTAAGTTTTCACCCTCTACCTACTGCTTAAAAACTAAGATCAACAAACAAATAATGTTATGTTCAACAAAAATTTAGATATCTACTGCAGATTTAACATGGCATGTTAAGAGCATGCCTGCAGCTGGAACTATGTCTTTCTTACGCTATATTACAATATTCACTACTGGATTTAAGAATGGATCTTCTACATATAGACAAGCTCTAAAAAAACTTCATTGTTTTCCTCTTCTGTATAAAAATATAGCATGCACACACACAAAACAAGACTTCTCTGGACAAAGATGCCTGCCATAGGTAAAAATAAAAAATAATCTTAAAAAATTCTGAAAAATCTTGTACAGATGAAAAAAAAGATGCTATGCATGTACTAATGTCAACTGTATAACAAACTCATTCATTCTATGCTATTCTAACAGGTAGATCCAGAAAGTACATTTGCATTTATTTAATCTTTATGTTGTATGTGCTCCTTAGACTTAAATTGCCACTGAACAGACTTGTTACTATAATCCAGAAATGTCTAATTTTGTTCCAAATATTTTTTTTTAAAATACAAAAGCAAATGATTACAGAATTATGGTTATGACTCAAGAGCTGGTTCAACAAATTAAACTTTCCAAAGACAATACATTGGTTTCCTGAGATGGCTGAAAGTCACGTCTCAACTTCATGTTACACTACAATTAACAAAAAATACTATGCACAAAATCAGAGCTTAACTACAGCATACAAGCACATTTACAGAAGTCACCTAATTTCACTAGTACTATTTGTGTTAATGTGTACACCTTAACAAAAGTCCTAAAATAATCTTTATACATTACAAAACAAGGATTTACAAAACTTTATTTTATTTCCAAGGTACTTCATTCTAAAAATGTTGAAACATAAAAAAATACCATTTCCTAAAGGAGTTTACAATAAAAGGCTAACAATCTGGCATGGAAGAGGTAAATATATGGAAACCTGTTTTAACAGTCACAAATCAGTCGCTGGTGATTAAAGAACACTTTGTTCTTCAAAGCTGGTAGGCACTTCCACGTAGCCAGAAATCTAAGTTTTCCTACCACTCCTTTTCCCTCCCATACATAAAAATATCCAATGCAATTAAAAAAAAAGTAGGATAAAAGGGTGGACGTGTGATCAAATAAAAGCATTATCTAAGGTCTTGATTATTGTTCATCTTGTGTAAGTGTAAAGATTTTGTCCCAAAGTTTTCCTGACAAGATGGAGTTATTTAGCCTTTAAAAGTGTTAGCTGAAATACCTCCCTTTTTTACCAGTATATGTTGTTTGCTCACTGCTGTATTGTTGGTTTATGTCTGTAACAGAAACTGGCTCTAGGCCAGCCCATGGGTCCTCAAGCATTGAAGGTCTGTAATAGTTTTCCACATCATTAGACACTCTTTTCTCTCTGCCATGCGCTGTACCAAATGGAGTAGATGTCCTGGGTGATCCCTTTGGAAGAAAACCATCAGGTAAAGAAACATTTAATAGACTAATTCAAACAAAAAAAAAGTTTCCTTCTAATGTAGCAGAGCTTTGAAGCCGATTATTAATGATAATTACTACTCCTCACTTGCATCTTCCTCAGAAAATATTAACTTTATTATACTTTTAATTATGAGTGATGATTTACCAGGTTAAGAAAAAAACCCAGTCTTCTCCAAAATACTTGTTTATGTCGCTCTGGCATATAACTACAGAAAAGCTCCTCACACTATTTTTCGTAAGCTGCCTGAGTCAACAACATGTCTAACTCAAAAGCTGAACAACTAAACAGGGAGTTAGAGGCTGAGAATGAGCTGATAATGTTTACAAGAGCAGAAGTCAGATATTAAGTACTTACAGATTCAACACAGCATTGTATAACACAAAAAGCTATAAATGACCCAAAGAACTTACTGGGAAAAACACCCTGTTTTAAGCAAACTAGTGTTCTGTGAAATTTGAGAACAGATGACTTTATCTGATATACAATCTGGATGATAATCAGTGATTAAGTAGATATGGCGCAAAAGAAAAAACCTTTTGCATGGAGCTTTTGATATTTGATTTTTTTTTAAAGATCAAGGATCACAACAATGGCTTCTGCAAACCTGCTACAAGTCTGCAACTTAGAGAGCTATGACATAAAGGAAATCACTATAACCATTTACTGCTGTTAGCATCTATTGTTCTTTCCCTCAGATTCACTCCCCTAAAAAGTAAGGTTTTATATAAAGCTGTGTTAGTTTAAATTAATTTGTTTTAACCGAAGTTAAACAAGCTATACTACATGTACACAACAGTTAGGCTCCAAACTATGCCTGATGCATTCTGTATGACTAGAAGAACAGGACTCCTTGCGGCTAATTACCAGCCTCTGACTTTGTAAAGGAGGAAAAAAGCACCGATCATGGGCTGCTTTCCCCACTCACCTGACTTTTTGGGCCAGCAGTGATGGTATTTGAATTTGACTAATAAACCTTAAAGAATCTATGTAAATAGACAGTATGAAACAATTTCTGGGTAAAACTGAGAAATCGTGCCATATAGTGAAGGCCCCTATGCTTAGCCAGAAGAACAGATTCCACTGAAACCGTGTGAACCTTTTTCTGAAAATGTGCTGTGGCAGGAACCTGCTTGTGTGGTCCCAGTAAGTACTATTCTAGAACTCCTAAAGCTTGATGATAATGGATACACAACCAAACGTGGGAACAGCCATGTCTTATTTATGGGGCACTTGTTTCTAATGATTCATCGTCGTACAATTAGGTTATGTAGCTAAGATGATGATCTCAAACCAGAAAACTTACTAAAAGGTAGATAACTACTTTATGGTATCAAAACCATGAGGGTAAGGTCAGAGAATCACCTCAGAATACATGTAAAAAACTTCCTAAGGCCGCGGAGTTTCCTAGAGCAAGTCAACATGCACTAGCAAAAGTGACATTTATGTTAAGCACTCACATTTAGTAGTAACTCAGTAGTACACAGTGCATTCCATCTTCAAAATAAAAAAAATTAACTCTTTAAAACACCATGTTTAACGGGGACCCTGTAACTTTGACACTGTAAAACAGTCTGAGTGTGGAGTTTGTTTATGTCAAATCTGCAGAACTCAAAAGAAAGCTGAATGGACATAACGATCCGCAGTATCCAGTGACAGAACAAAATAATTCAATGGTAAGGCTCTTTTGGATGGATTTATTTTATAATACTAAATTTCACTACAGTATAATGCAGGCTATCAGTTAACACTGACATTTTAGCATGTGTGAAATCTAGGAAATTTATTATTATGTAATACAAGATTGATGGCCTTCAATAAGTGTTAAATTTAAGCATGTGGTTATTTTTTTTAAATTTAGAATACTAGTCATTATAGGTTTTTTCCCCCCTCTGTATTTTTCTTAGAAGAAAAAAATCAAAATGTTATTATTCATATTATAGGCCTGTGGAAAAGGAAAATAGCCCGACCTGTGCAAGTGAAATGATTCTGTGCAAGTGAAACTGTTTGGTGCCAAAGATACCTTACAAAAAACTTTATATTTTACTGTCACTGGTGTCAACAGCAGTGACACTTTTCTCAGGGAACTTTCCCTAAAGAAACAGTCAATCTATTCTCAATACTTTTTTCCCCAGATAACAAATCTCTCTCTACAGTAGGGGGGAAAAAAAAAAATCTTTTGGTGCTATTCATTAACATGTTACTGAATATGGTAATACTGCCTTGAAAATGGGGACAGTTACTCCCCTTAACAGCTTCCTTCAACTGATGTAATTTTAGCTGCTGGCAGATGCACAGAAACACAAAAATCATGACTACCATTTCAAAAGATTTTTTTTTTACTTTCTGTAATAATTTTCAACCCATCACCACTAACTAGCTACAGCTACTAGCTAGTTCACTAACTCCTGCTGAGTGTAGAAAGGGAAACACTACCGCTAAGTGAATTCTAAGAAGAGATATTAAAAAAATACAACAAACTTGTTTTCATAACATGAAAAGCAAATGCATCTCTATGGAAAAAACAGAAACCTCCATAAAGTATTGGCCACATATAGGCTAAGTCAGCCATTTCGGAAAAATCCAGCTTACTATGTTTTTCTTTAAGTTTTCTGTTAATTTAAAAAAATGGAAGTCTGCAAGCACAAAATAAGCACAGAATACAAATGACATGACATTAATAGAACACTAAAGTAAATATAAACTGTCTTTTGGATTTCCTGATGAGATTTTAAAGGGTCACTTATGACTTTCATCCCAAAGGTGACAGACAGTAACATCATAAATTTAAAAAGCACTGTAGTTCTCTTAACAATAGCATCTACAGAAGAGAGGGGAACAATCCACATATACCTCAAAAGAAATTTGATCCTTAGAAAATGCAAAAAATTCCTCTACCTGACTCTATTCATGGCCTCATGGACCGAGATTCTTGCTGCCCCCATCGAAGAAAATGGGGACTCACGGTTTAGGAGACTTCCTCCCTCCGTGATCGCCTCTACTGCCCTCCCAGGCAAAACAAACCCATGTGTATACACTGAAAAGTACACACATACATATTACTTTAGTCCTAGGCAAAGCTACAGACATACAGTGTCTTTCTAGTCTTAGAAAGCATCACCATCAGGTAAATGCTCCTAAACTACTCACAAGGTCTACAGAAGGAAAGAGGAGAAGGGAAAATGTTGTGACAATCTGAGACTGGATTCAAACTTGTACCTTCTTTATGTCAGGTTTCTTACTTAACACCAAGAATGGAGCCTGTGAGACTGTTCCTGCCCACAGGTCCTGACATGAAACACTTCTGACTAAAACTTGAGGCAAAAGGATTCCTGCATTCTTCTGCTCAGTTAATTTAAGGCAGACTTTTAAGAAACACTTAATTGAATATCCAAAGAGTGGTCTTCTGAAGGGAAATCAGACATCAGTGACATAAACCGTCCCTCCAGAATCTGCAGCAGAAACCCCACATCCGTTGCCTTTTCAACAGGTACAGAGGTTAAGCAATCTGTAGGCTTCCACACTAGGAGAGCCTTTGCTGGTGTGTTGAAGAAAATGTATAAAGTTCATAATGGTCCCCTTCCACCAACTATGAGATTCCTGTAAGATAGTTATCTGCATCATAAAAAAAGTAACCAAAGACTATTTTTGAATGGAAATGTGACTATGCAGTGTGGGCACATTAAGATTTTACTAATCTCTATTAAGATTTGACTTCATTATTACACTCTAATCCTTAAAGTGTCAGGAAGAGCACCTGAAAATTTTATTGTTGTCTGTACCGCATGTGTCATTTGTTATGCTTTTAAGGTTTCTCTAATATTGCATAAAGCCAGCTATGTACCTAAAGTTGGCATCACCTCAAGAACTGTCATCCCTATCTGCATTGCCTCTCACAGGCCCCAACTAAACCATGTGAAAAAAGCATAACTCACAGAACCTGTTGTCGATAGCCCTCAGGAAAACTACTACTATAAACTGAAGTTTTCAGTGCAATGCAAAGACTTTAAAAGTAATACTCTTGTTATCCCAACAGATGCTCTCATTTCTGCTTCAAGGAGCTTCAGCTTAACTCTCTTTAATAGAGCACTCCTTTTCTCTACTCGTGTCCCAGAAAGCTCTGCATGTGGATAGGGCAGCTTCCATGATGCAAGATGAGACAGGCAAAGTAGAAGCACACAGCACTTCACCACTGTGTTCAAGAAAACTGATCAAAGGGAGGTACATACAAGCAAAAGAGGTGTTTGCTGCGGTCTGGGGTGGTGCTTAATTTTCTCTCTACCTCCACACGCCAGAATATGAAAAGGAAGAAAGCTCCACTCTTGCGAGTCCTTGTGTCTTCACAACAGGCCTCAGCCAGGCCTGGGGCCCTCCTCCCTTTCCTGATCACACAGCTCCCTGAGCTGGGGTCTCTCCACTCTCTCTACCGGTGGGAAAGTCAGATGTTGCCCAGTGCGGTGCAAGTCTCGCTCTCCCCTCAAAATCCTGGCGGAGGGGACGGATGCTGCGCCTCGTCACAAGCCTCGGCGTGCTCTCCCCTGCGGGCTGAGGGCCCCCGCGTAGCAGCAGCAGCAGCAACTCCCGCCCTCCCTCCTTCCCGCCCCCGCCTCGCTGTGCGGAGGCGCAGGCCTCTCTCCCTTACCGCCCTGCCCCATACCTGGTAGTGCCTCTGGAAGCCCCCGGGCGAGCGCTTGTGCTGCTGCGGGTGCAGGGCAGCTCCAGCCGGGGATTTGCCGCCGTAGGGAGCCGGGTACCGGGGGCTGACGCTCTGCGGCCTGCGCGGGGTCTGCCCCCCCGGCGACGGGCTCCCGAACCGCCCGCCGCCGCCGTGGAAACCGTGGCCTCGGGGCGAGTGGCCGCTGCCGTAAGGCCCAGGCCGGTGGCCGTAGGGCGGCGTGTGGTGGGGGCTCCCGTAGCCCCGCGGGGAGGGTGGCACGGGGCCCCCGCCGGAGGGAGGGCTCCGGAAGCCGCCGCCCGCGTACGGAGGCGTCGGGGGGCGGAAGCTCTGCCGGTACATGGCCCGAGCCGGCGAGGCGACGGCGGCGAGGAATAAAACCTGCGCAACGGCGTCCCCCGGCAGGCGCCTCGGCGGGGCGACGTCACTTCTGGCGGCTTTCTCCTCCCCGCCCCCCCCCCTTTTTCCCCGCCGGGCGGCCGGAAGGTTCCGGGCTCCAAACGTTCCGGGGCCGGGGAAGGCGAGGCGAGCGACACCCGCCCGGGGCCGGGGCCGCGCCCGCCCGG